TCTAATTGTACTAATGCAGCCAAGTGGATTTTTCTAATGGGTTTGCATATCTCTTGAGTTCCATAAATTATTGTTTTGATTTCATATAAAGTGAACATTGCATGCAAGGTTGGCCTTGGGAGAATTGCTCTGACCACATATCTATCAACCTTGACTTAATAGAAATAATTGAAGTGAGTGAGCTTCCATTTAATATTGAATTATGTGGCTTTTCATATATGTATATATTCCTTTTTCTAATTCTTTTTTTTTTTTTTTGTTCACAAGGACTTTCCTTTCTATAGACCTTGGCTCTAGAGATCAGCCAGCTAACAAAATCATTCAAATGCAAAGTTGGTGAAACTTGTGAAGGTCAAATGACTTGCTTGACTAAAATCGCTGAGAGTCAAACCTTAAAATGAGGGCACATGGTTTCAAATCAACTTTTGTAAAGTTCTGTTGCCCACACAACCAGATAGTTAAAAAGCATAGAAACAGAGAATGAATTAGAAATTTATAAACCATCAAATTAAGGAAGACCAGGACTAGAAAAGCACATATAAAGCTCCCCAAATTCCATGTAGGTTTCAGAAAATGGCTTTGTTAGTAAGTACAGTCTGTAAAACCAACAGAACCCATAGCACCCATGTAAAAAATTATGTTTAGTGATGTATGCCATTAGTCATAGCATTGGGGAGATGGATATTTGAGAGATGAGTGGCCTTCAAGGTCATCGACCAGCCAGGCTAGCTGAATCAATGAGTTCCAGGTTCAGTGAAAGACACTGTCTCAAAAATATGCTGAGGGAAGACATCTTGTGTCTACATATTGTCTACATATACACATGTATTTACATGGAAACATCCACATGCATATTTAAGCAATACACAAATGCATGTACACACAAAAAATTACATGCCACTTTCTCAAGTTGTTCTAATTTCTCTTTAATATAAATATTAAATCTTCCTCCATTTAAGCCAACTTTTTATTTAATTATAACTTTTCCTTTGTACATTTTCAGGTTCTATAAAAGATTAAGTGACTGGATATGGCAAGATTCTACTCTGACTTTCCAACTTTTTAGATTCCATAGTATCCATACATTTGTCAAACATTTCAAGTAATAAATATTTCAAACTTTACATACTGCATTCATATTATCATTACAAACAAGTGTAATTGGACTTTTTAAAAATAAACTTCATGTTTTCTCATACTTTGAAGCACTTGGACCCTTTTGAGATCTATGTTTTGTTTGCCGTGAAAGATGCCCTCATAAATTTAAGGTACCATATCAATCAACTTTTTTTTCATTTACCCTTCAGACTCTACACCTTGAGACTATTCTCAACCATAGAGTCAGCTTCTCATTATTTTTTGGTACTGATTCAAAAAGCACTGGAAGCAAGCCTTTGGCTGAACTATATTGAAAACACTAAAAGTGCCACATATTAACATACAATTAGCTTTTCATGGAGTCCAGGCTAAATTATTACTCAGTCCCTAAGGGAAAGAGATGAAGGGGTTTTTTGAAAGATAAAATACAACAGTAGATGTAACCCCATCCTTCAGAGTTATTGATTTATCCCTTTGGGTCTGGTTAACCGAAGAAGTTATCATTTATCACAATTAATGTGGAAGCTTGTACCATATTAAATTAAGACCTAGGAGCCAGGAGGCTACACAGAACTTCTTATGATAGAGTTCTAAGGGACACAAACTTGAAATGTTAAATTTCAAATGGTAGTGAAAGAATTGTTTTTATGGAGAAAATAGGCTCTTGTGAAATCTGCCAGTTGCCTTATTTTCAGCAAAGAATGATTCTGCCTCTACCAGCAACTAACCACTACCAATATCTCTTCAGTATGATGTGGGACTTGGAGATTATTTATCACATCTATGTCTTGATTTGTATGAAATTCTCAAAATTCAATATTAAAAATGTACAAATAGGGAAGAGAATATGAGACTAAAGGTATAGAAAGCAACTTAATGCTGTTATTGTATTAATAGAAATAGGAAAATTCTGAAGAACGAGAGCTAATGAAATAAGGTAAATTGCACAAGAAAAGAGTAAATTTATCTTCAGATGTATTGATTAGGACAATTCATATAATAGAAAAGACCATATTCAGTTCTAACTGAATAGGATTTGTTTTGAAATTGTGTGTGTGACCCTACATGTGGTGGAAAACCAGCTATTTGTCTTTCTGAGTCTGTTTTATGGATCCATCTCTCTTTCTACGCATGTCAGGGAATCATTTCTCAAATATGTATCTGGCAGAAGAACAACAGGGACAAAGGATGAAACCACTATAATGAAATTTGTTACTTTGTAACCTAAGTTTTTAAAAGTTTAATAAGAAAGTAAGAAAAAAATAACTTCTTACTTATATGGAGTTATAAAGAAACTCCTTTATAGTAAACTATATATATTTTTTTATTCATTTATTAAAGATTTCGGTCTCTTTCCCCCTACCGCCTCCCATTTCCCTTCCCCTCCCCCAATCAAGTCCCCCTATCTTGTCAGCCCTAAGAGCAATCAGGGTTCCCTGCCCTGTGGGAAGTCCAAGGACCACCCACCTCCATCTAGGTCTAGTAAGGTGAGCAACCAAACTCCCTAGGCTCCCACAAAGCCAATACTTGCAGTAGGATCAAAAACCCATTGCCATTGTTCTTGAATTCACAGTAGTCCTTGTCCGCTATGTTCTGTGAGTACGGCTTTATCCAAGGCTTTTTCAGACCCAGGCCAGCTGGCCTTAGTGAGTTCCTGAGAGAACATCCCCATTGTCTCAGTGTGTGGGTGCACCCCTTGCGGTCCTGAGTTCCTTGTTCGTGCTCTCTCTCCTTCTGCTCCTGATTTGGACCTTGAAATTTCAGTCCAGTGCTCCAATGTGGGTCTCTGTCTCTGTCTCCTTTCATCGCCTGATGAAGGTTAATATTCAGGAGGATGACTATATGTTTTTCTTTGGGTTCTCCTTCTTATTTAGCTTCGCTAAGAACCCGAATTATAGGCTCAATGCCCTTTATTTATGGCTAGAAACCAAATATGAGTGAGTACATCCCATGTTCCTCTTTTTGGGTCTGGCTTACCTCACTCAGGGTAGTGTTTTCTATTTCCATCCATTTGCCTGCAAACTTCAAGAAGTCCTTGTTTTTTTACT